GACGCGTGAATTTTACCGTTTCAACTACACCACTGTTGTCGACAAGTGTGAAGAAGATGGTCCTAACAACATCACCACCTGCTGTAGGGAAATTCCTATATATGTTGACTCTCGTCCTCCATGGTAAGGCAGAGCTCCAAAAAATGTCTAACTCTTCTTCCTTGTCGAGAATGCATCTTTAACCAAGTCTCTCAAAATGCCTAACTCATTTCCTCAGCAAGAAAATATTTTTCATCGCGAAGTTTTACATCAGCATCAAAGTCTTCTACTATTTTCTTAAAGAGTAAAAGTATCTCATATCGTCAAGGTCGAGAGCAAGAGTATCTCATATTATGTTTTTTTCCCTGTCTTTTCCTTTACCCTTGCTTTTGCCTACAAGACAAGAGAAAAAAAAAGAAGCAACCAGTCGGAACTTGAAATCAAACTTCTGGTCTATATTGCCCATAACCTTTGCTTGATCTCTTGCCTTGCATTGCTCTCAAGTAGTCATCTTCAACTATTGTTGGAATCGGGTTTCAAGTCACCAACATCACATAATAGTTGGTACGCTATTGGCTCTTTACACTGAGGCTGCCAAGTATGGATGAGTCACCAAAAGGTGATGCTTTGAATGACCATTCAAAGGCACAAGTTGCACACCACTTCTGTTATGCAGGAGGTTGAAACTGAAGGACCAATGATGAACCTATAAAAGTTCAAAGGGAGAAAATAAGTGGTTGACTAAGTGAATGGAATACCAAAGTTCGATGATGGGAATCCTACTCACAACCCCAGCAAACTCTAGCATTTTATATCATTCACATGATGTACAAAAAGGTAATCCAAAATTTGAAAATTACTAATTAATTACAAGTTACAAAGATGCCACACGGATTGAAGTCTTAATAAGACTATCCATAGACTTGGCATTACTGAACTGTTACATGCCCACAATATGACAGTTGCCGTATGGATTCAAGTTCCAAAAGACAATCCATGGAGATGGGAATTTTAATATATCTCATGCCTGAAGTATGATGGATGTATAGGTTCCAATGATTCAACTCCCCAGAAGTAGAGATTAAAAATCCAAGTTCTATAATGCTCTAGAAGAGGTTATGATCCAAATTCTCTAAATAATTCATCTAATAAGATATGATTGTCCTAGAAGAGACAATATAAAGCCCATGAAGAGGCAAGGATATCCAAAGTAATGAAATGCTCATAAATATGCATGTGCATGCACATGAGAATGATGGGATCATGAATTGATGATTACTAATGCTAATTTTGGTTTTACAATAGCTACTAAATTCATCAATGAGCTGTGTTGAACCATGTTCTTTTGTTCGTCGATGAAAAGAAAAGTTATTAGTCAAATTGGAGAAGGGCAATTCTATTAAAATTTAGTAAGAACACAGAGAAATGGACCTGTTCTACAAATTGCCAAATGATGTTGAACCCAAGAAGTTATATATGGGCATTTGTAATACAATGAACTACACTCACATGGTATGACACAAGGTTCCTAGTTGAAACCTGAAATTTTAATACACTCTTATAAACTTGATTTCCTATTGTGAAACTTGTTCATTTCAATGGAGAATTATACATATTATACAAAGGCTTATGAAATGTCTGAAGCATATCTCTATAAGTAAATCCCTCAAGTATACATGGAAGCAAGTTGCTCTGTATAAATTCCAAAAGAGAATGTGTTATGAAGTGTAGAAAATTCCTGAAGAATTCAAATTGCTTGAAAAAAAGCCCTGGAAGGGTAAAGCATAAATTATGTACGCAATACCGATGGATTGTATAAATTGTCTTAGTGAGTACTATCGTTATGATATTGTTGCAACCTACTAAATCTTTTGCAAGAGTTAATATTAGATTGGGACTCCTAAAGAGTGTAGAAAGATTATAAAGTATTGAAAGAAATATTATCTTGAACTGCAGATCGAACAATATGTCAACGTGAATCTTATCCATCAAAATGTTTATGTATTAAAGAATCATATGGATTGAAGATCATGAGTTGAACACTCAACTGATTAATCGATATTTAGACACTAAGAAAGATCATTCCTCGTGAGGGAAAACATGAATTGATATTTGGTCCAGAAGAACCACATCTTAGTGAAGTATGTTTGTACCATACTTAGGGCCTCCATATTTAGATCTCGTATAAATACTTGAGGGACTCAAATGTAATTATGTAATAAATGAAGGGGCAAATATGTAGTAAGTGAGGAGCCCTTATTCTATAAAAGGACCCCTCACTCTCCTCATTAAGAGAGGCCAATTCAGAGGCCATTTCTTAGGCCATGGGAAGAGCTCTCATCCTCACATACAGAGGCTATCTCCCTCACAATCCTCTCAGAGAAATACAATATCAGTGTGGACGTAGCCCAAACATTGGGGTGAACCACGATACATCTTGTGTTATTTACATTTCTTGCAGATTCACAGTCGGATTTACGTTGTTCCAAGACCCCTCCGGTTTTGTGCATCAACAAAGTATATGCCTTATTGTATTTAGCACAATACATTGAATCAGATGAAACATTTCCTTAATGAGTTTTAGAATGAAATAATGTTTATATATTGATAACTCTTGGAAATTATAGACATGTGCTTGTTCTATTCAAATGAACTCACTAACAGCCATGGTCTTACTGGGCAAGCAAAATATGAGTATCTCTCTTGTTTGCATAAAGATGGCTCATAGACATAATTAAGTAATGGAAATTGGAGAAACACATTCAAAGCTAATATGATACACTACCTCACCAACTATCTGCCAAAAGTTTTCACTTCAGAAGCTTAAGAACTGCACCAACACACATTGGCATAATAACAAGTTAGTTAATCTAAACTTATTCTAATCAGGGGGAGATATCATTAGGGGAAGCATCGAAGTGTATGCTACATGAGCAAAATATTTTTGTCTCATTTAGACCATCCATTCATCTCATGTTGGTTATCATTACAGAAATTTTAAAGACAGTCAATAAATGACCTGTAGTCATCCAAGGGGAAGTGTTATAAAGATGGATGACCACATGAGGAAATAAACATCGCCTATTGTTTCTTTTCAGCCAACCAAAGTTGAAGATCTTGTCAGCCTACAAATGTTGAAGGTGTGCTGCCTACTTTCACATTTCTTGGACTTAGCAGGGAATGATATGTTTTTCTATATAAAGGCCTATTAGCTCACAAATGTTACAACAAAAGAAAACATACATTCTCTTGTTTCCATTTGTAGTTTTCATTTAATAATAAGAGAGATTACTACTGCTACACCAATGACTTAAGCATACTTGCCGAACCTCGTAAATATTGTGGCTTATTTACTTTATTCCACTGCACACATATCGTTGATTTCGCAACATCTCCTTATATTTGTGGCCTTATTTCTGATGAACCAAGAGGGAAGAGTAACTTTTCATCCAAGTAAGTACAAAGTCTAAAAGGAAAGAATCACTAGAATATTAAGTAGTCTTAAACTCAATCTAATTAGGATTTACACAGTCACACATGTGCTAATAATGTTCACAACACTCCCTTGAGTATGTTAATACTTAGTAAATATCACATCAAATGTAGCAAAGTTTGATGAAGTCATCTTGTTGGCACTGATTAAGGAACATACTAGTCTCAAACAAAAGAACTTGCATGTGGAAATAAGTCTCACAAAACTCAGTTATGGTAAAATCCAATATGGTACAAAAGTCCATAGTCCAAGGTAAATGATGAGTTGAATGCAAAGTCAGTTTAAACGTCTACTGGACGTACACAAGGGTATGACCATCCCAGAATAGGTTCCTTGTTAAAACCTAGTCATGCAGCAAAAGCCCAAAGGAACAAATGCTTCTAATCATAAGGAAAATAGTATTTTAAGGTCAAGTGAGTATACTTCAGGATAATCCCTTTGAGTTTGACATAATTCCAAAGAGGACTAACATTGTTATAACTCAGAAAGTTTATGCATATCAATTCCCCGAACAAGCTTCTGGAAAGTAAACTTCGGTAATGACTTATGAAGAGATCGGCCAAGTTGTCTTAGGAATGGATTTGCTTGACTTCAATTTTCTGATGTTATTGTTGTTGATGAGACAAAAGAATTTTGGCACAATATGCTTGGTGTTGAAGACAGTTATGGGTAAGATGTTCTTTTTTACATAAAAACCTGAATTCATCAAATATAAAAAACATAATAAAATATAGCAATAAAGTTTTTGGTGTACGAATTAGGGGTGGGTTAAAAAAATCGAAAACCGAAAAAAAGGGGACCGAACACCTAACCTAAATTGAAAAATCGAAAACCAAACAAAAACCGAACCGAACAGAACATAACCGAGTCTCTTTACACTTTATGAATGTATGCTATGATGTTTCTTTTGTGAAACTTTGTTGCCAAGTATGAAACGAAGTCTAGGGCTTTTTCAAGGGGTATAGTTGGTTCAATTAGGGAGGTTATTCCATTGATTATAGAGGAAAGTTGGAAGGCGGCTTCCAAGAAGCCAATTTATATTGAGTATGCAAATGATGTGCTTGAGTCTGTTTTGGAACTTGAAAGAGCTTCTCTATTTGTTTGCTTTCGAGGTTGTTAATAGAATAATATTGGTTTATCTAATCTTGATATGTATAACTACCTTCCTACTTTCCTCATTCTCTTATTATTAGTCTACCAATGCAAGCCTTTTTCTAAATTCCATATTAAAAAAAAAATTTGTGTTTTATAAACTAAAAAAACCGAAAGCGAACAAAAAAAAAAAGGGAATTGAATAAAACCAAACAGAAAAAAAAATCGAAAGAAAATCAAACTGAACCGAAAATTTGATTCTATTTCTGCTTTGGCAAAAAAAAAAAAAAAAAAAATTTGAATGAAACCGAACCCACCCCTACATATCCCAGTAAGGTCGGTTTCTAATTGCCACATCCTTCCCCACTCACCGTCTTCCCACGCCCGCCACGTGTCCTGAAACAAAACTACGCCCCCGCCTGCCGTTTTGCTTCAAAGCTGCGCGAAAGTTCTCAAACTCTCCGTGCCGAAAAAACGAAGAAACGCAGAATTTAGAGGCTCTCTCGTTCTCGTCGAAGAATCAAATCCTTTCTATTTTTAATGCCTTACGCTCGAAGATAATCTCAATCAATTCCATTTAATTCACGCCACAATCGATCTCTTCAGGTGCGCTTTCTCTTTGCCTTTGGATATTATTGTATCAAATTCCACCAAATGTCTCTCGGATTTCGGATTTTTGGGGTTTTGATGTTCAAACAATTTCTGATTTCAATCAGCTTTTTTCGAATTTTTGTCCTGACCTTATTGGGTTTTCGATTTTATTCACTTTTTCTGCCGAAAAAAAACCCCAAAAAAGATTGCTTTTTGATTGGTTTGGTTTTAATTTTATTTAATTCTAGCGGTGATTAAGCGGGAAAATTCGATTAATATTTATTTTATTTGGGGATTTTGGATTGAGGGGTTTAGTTAAAGTTGAATTTTGATCATATTCTTGTTAAATTTGTATTTTTGTAGGGATAGTAAGCTAATGGCAACTGCAACTATGGCCACCGCAGCCGGTGCAGCTGCTCTTTTGTATTATACGTTGAATCGTAAGTTACAGTCCCCCCTGTCGGGTGGCGATGATGTCGAAGATGGGCGTGGTGATGTGCCCAAACATGCTCCTTTGGGAATTGAACGCGTTTCGCATAGGTTAATTCAAGCCCCGGCTACATGGCTGGAGACCATTTCGACTTTGTCGGAGACGCTTAGGTTCACTTACTCCGAGACTTTGGGGAAGTGGCCTATAGGGGATTTGGCATTTGGGATTAGCTTTCTCCTAAAGAGGCAGGTAAAATGTTTTCATGGACATGGTTTCTTTACTGTGCCGATTTCAGTGTTTATATCGATTTCGTTATTATTGCATGGGTTTTGCGTTATGTGCTGAAAATAGTGGTTACATACGTAGATTTTATAATTGTGGCATGCGGGGTTTGTGTTGCTTAGATGGTTGCTTTCAATATGGCGAGATTTTAGTTTTAAGATTCATGATAGACGGATGTTGATTTTACACAAATCATTAGTATTTTTTTTATCTGAATATAATACTCAATCTAGAGATGGAAAAAAGGGTGGTTGAATTATGGAAAGCATTCTTCTAACTGAGTGTTAAAAACAGAATTGGTGAAAAATGTGACACTATACTCTGCAGCTTTCGCAAATTTTTTTGGAAGTTTACCTATGATTAGCACTTCTTTACGATACTAACAGAACCAAGAAAGGAATTATTCAGAAGTGTTTGTCATTCTGGAGATAAATAGACTCGCAAGAAAAGAAAAAAAATGTTACATGACATGCTATCCTTCTTGTATTTATTGTTTGTTTATATGAGCTCCTATCTGGTATATACCAAGTAGTCATTTTTCTTCTATTGTCTGGTTGGAAGAGTGATATTTGATAATAACTCGTCTGTATGGTGCAGGGAAACTTACATGTTCATGGTGTATTTGGTGGAATAGACAGTCAACAGCTAAAAGGATCTCAAACAATTGCTGAACTCAAATACCTCTTAAACTTACTGACATTGTGTTGGCATTTTTCGAAGAAACCTTTTCCATTGTTTTTAGAGGAGACAGGCTATTCAAAAGAAAATGTTCTTCTCCAGGAACCCAAAGCAGGAGTAGGTTATTTTATTAGATATTGTTACTGTTGTACTGATCGTTGGTCAGTGTCTTTATGCACTATTTTACTCTCAATGGCATAAAAAATTAATTTAGCACTATCTGTTAATATCAAATTCTGTATTTACTGTGTTCTGCAGATCTTGAAGCCTGCTTTTACAATTCTTGTTGATCATAATAAGAAGTGTTTTCTCTTGCTGATTCGTGGAACCCATAGTATTAAGGACACTCTGACGGTTGCAACGGGAGCTGTTGTACCATTCCATCACAGTGTTGTACATGAGGGAGGAGTCAGTAATTTAGTTTTGGGTTATGCACATTGTGGAATGGTTGCAGCTGCTCGATGGATTGCAAAGCTTGCAAAACCTTGCGTACTAAAAGCACTTGAAGAATATCCTGACTATGAACTTAAGGTAATGGCATAAGTGTGGATGTTCTCTATTTTACTACTCATCTTAATTAGTCAATTAGTAGATATTGTTATGTTGTTAAATTAAACGACTCTGATGTTTTAGTTCCTAGAAAGTAAACATTTTCATGAGACATCTTGGCTCTGATACCTTTCAGTATCATTTTTGTTGATATATATATATATATTTTTTTTTTTTTTGGCATCTGTAAAACTATGTCCCTGAAGCAGCTTTGCTACTGCAGGTGATGGGTGGGGATTTATTGATTAGCTGATTAGTTATTTCAGCAGTCTTCTCGTGTTAACTGTATTATCAATTACACAGACCATATGGCTAGCAGAAGTTTCTTCTTGGAACTTGATCAAACTAACAATATTTTGAGTAGATTCATGTAAACATATTGTTCAAATGTTTCTTCTTAACCCATTTGATAGCTTCGAACAATATTATGGTCCACAAGATCAAAATATGTATAACAAATAATTGTTTCTGACAGATTGTAGGGCATTCTTTGGGTGGAGGCACTGCCGCACTTCTAACATATATATTGCGGGAGCAGAAAGAACTTTCAACAACCACCTGTGTGACGTTTGCTCCAGGTTTGTGTTCGTTAAATGTCATGGGCTAATATTAATTTCAGTGCTGCGCATCAAATTGGGTTCCTTTTTTTATTTTTTGTATTCTGAACACCAAAATTTTCTTAGTTGTATTATTTTGTTCTGAATTTGGATGCTTGTTTAGTTGGATATCTATAAACTAGCTAGAGCAAGGGAAAAGAAGACAAGGGACCTAAACCAAGTGAGGTGCATCAAGGATGAGGATGGAAAGGTTCTTGCTACAGAGAACGCGGTTAAAGACAGATGGAAATGTTATTTTTATAATCTTTTCAATGAAGGACATGAAAGGAGTGCTTCTTTAGGGGAGTTGAGTAACTCAGAAGAGTGTAGAAACTACTCTTTTTATCGTAGAATTCGGAAGGAAGAAGTGGTTGTAGCTTTGAAGAAGATGAAGCATAGAAAAGCAGTAGGCCCAGACGATATACCAATCGAAGTGTGGAAAGTTTTGGGAGAGACAGGTATAACATGGCTCACTGACCTTTTCAATAGGATTCTGAAAACGAAGAAGATGCCAAATGAGTGGCGAACGAGCACTTTGGTGCCTATCTACAAGAATAAGGGCGATATACAAAATTGCATGAACTATAGGGGTATTAAGCTAATGAGTCATACAATGAAGCTCTGGGAGAGAGTCATTGAGCATAGATTGAGGCAAGGGACACGGGTTTCGGATAACCAATTCGGGTTCATACCAGGGCGCTCAACCATGGAGGCAATCTATCTCTTACGAAGATTGATGGAAAGATATAAAGATGGGAAAAAGGATTTACACATGGTCTTTATAGATTTGGAAAAAGCGTATGATAGGGTCCCAAGAGATATTCTTTGGAGGATTTTAGAGAAGAAAGGAGTACGAGTAGCATATATCCAAGCTATACAGGATATGTATGAAGGAGCAAAGACTGCCGCAAGAACTCATGAAGGACAAACCGAAAGCTTTCCCATAACTGTAGGATTACATCAAGGTTCATCCTTAAGTCCTTACCTTTTTGCGTTGGTAATGGATGAGTTAACAGGACATATTCAAGATGATATTCCTTGGTGTATGCTTTTCGCAGACGATATAGTGTTGATAGATGAAACTCAGGAAGGGGTAAATGCAAAGCTTAACCTTTGGAGAGAAGTGTTGGAATCTAAAGGTCTTCGCCTAAGCCGATCAAAGACAGAATATATGGAGTGCAAGTTCAGTGCAAATGGAGGCCAAAACGAGTTAGGGGTGAGGATCAGAGATCAAGAAATAACAAAGAGCGACCGTTTTCGTTATCTAGGATCTATCTTGCAAAAGAACGGAGAATTAGATGGAGATCTCAACCATAGAATACAAGCTGGATGGATGAAGTGGAAGAGTGCATCAGGCGTGTTGTGTGACCGCCGTATGCCACTAAAGCTCAAGGGAAAATTTTATAGGACGGCAATAAGGCTGGCGATGCTGTATGGTACAGAATGTTGGGCGGTGAAGCATCAACACGTACACAAAATGGGTGTAGCGGAGATGAGGATGCTTCGTTGGATGTGTGGGCACACGAGAAATGATAAGATTAGGAATGAGGATATCTGGGGTAAAGTAGGAGTAGCCGAAATTGAAGGAAAGATGAGAGAAAATCGGTTACGGTGGTTTGGACATGTGCAAAGAAGGCCTACTGACGCTCCGATTAGAAGATGCGACTATGGGACAGAGGTTCAGGGCCGAAGGGGTAGAGGAAGACCTAGGAAAACTTTGGAAGAGACCCTAAGAAAAGACTTAGAGTACTTGGATCTAACGGAGGACATGACACAGGACAGAACACAATGGCGTTCTAAGATTCATATAGCCGATCCCACTCAGTGACTTGGATTTTCCAAGTCTCCAACCGAGAAGTTTTCCTCACTCGGGAAATTAAGGGAACACTACCTCAACCTACATGCTCCACTCACAAAGCTTCAACATACAAGCTTCAACAAAAGAAAATTCAAAGAACTTAGTGAAGAAGGCTTTGGTGTATTTAACACAATACGTGGAAATGAAGGAAAACTTATTTATTGATAGCCCCGATAAGTTACAAATATGTACATATACTTGAGTCAAAATAAACAAACAAAAGGGAGCCTTCACAAAGGTTGCTTAGGAGAAGTCTCAGCAGTCGGTAGAGCCCCAGAAAGAGAAGGCACCGGAGGGGGATCATTCGGAGCCTCAGTACTGGACAGAACCCTAGAAGGAGGAGGCATCAGAGGTTGATCATTTGGAGCTTCATTAAGCGGTACAGCCCCAGAAGACGAAGGCAATAAATGCCTTTGGAACAAACCCACAAATCTCTGATGATCAAGTAAAACCTGATCATCAGATTCCTTCATCTGGTCAAGCTTCCTCTTCATGTTTGTAGCATAGTCATGTGTGAGCCGGTGCAACTGTTTATTCTCATGCTTGAGCCCTCTAGTCTCCTGTTTGAGACTCATCACTTCAGCCGCCAATGATTCAACTTGGCGGGTTCGAGCAAATAGGCGTTGGGCCATATTAGACACAGAACCTGCACACTGAACACTGAGAGCCAGAGAATCCTTAACAGCCAACTCATCAGACCGTTTGGAAAGTAGTCTGTTATCTTTGGGAGTGAGAAGGTTCCTGGCCACTACCGCAGCGGTCATATCATTCTTCATCACGGAATCCCCAATGGTAAGAGGACCAGTAGGGGAGACAAAGGATGGGCGCCATATGTTGTCTGGAGAAGGCGAGGCTGCCTCTTCAACAAGGTTCAAGTCAAAACGACGGTCGGAGGGGCCAGACATTTTCAAAGGTGTTGAAGAGAGAAGAGGTCGGACAAATCAAGATCTTAGAAGTGCAAGAATGGAGCTTCTACTGGTGGATATTCAAGTGTGCTTTGGAACTTAATGTCAGCCCCTATAAAAATTTGCACTCGACGAAGCTTCAGAAATCGAAGAGGCGCCTGCTCAGAAATCGAAGAGGCGTTTGCTTTCTCAAAAGCTGGGCTGCTCAGAGATCACGAGGGTCGATCTCAGAAATCGAAGAGGCGTTTGCTTTCTCAAAAGCTAGGCTGCTCAAAGACCACGAAGGCCGATCTCAGAAATCGAAGAGGCTTGCTTTCTCAAAAGCTGGGCTGCTCAGAGACCACGAGGGCCAATCTCAGAAATCGAAGAGGCACCTACTTTTTCAGCCTTGTCAGCATCTGTCACACGCACACTCAGCTTTGCGGAAATTATGGGCATTCTGTCGAAGATTTCTGGCGAAGTAGAAAGCACATGAATCGTACTGTTCAATCACCCACTTCCCACACGCAACAGTAGCTCATGGGTACCACAGATAACTTTGCCAAAGTTCTCTGACAAAGTTGAGACACGTGAAGCTTGCAGCTCCCACTACATCGCTCTGACCAAGAAGGGTAAAAGAATAGCAAAGAAATAACACTAACAAAGTTTAGACACATAAATTTTGAAGGTCTAGCTACCATATTATTACCCACAAGGGTAAAGGAACAGTACCACTGATGGATAATTGGAAAGTCCCGGTGTGTCAACCTCTGTGCTTCGTGGCAAGGTAGACTAGCAAACATGCCCAACCTTTACTCACATTCGAGAAAACACTCCCAACAAGATTGCTTGCTCCAAAATCGAAGAGGCACCGCCCTCCGAATCTCGAGAGCCAGACTCCCAACATGACTTGAGATCATTCTCCCACAATATTTCCTAATGTCATTTGTACTAAATCATTCACTTGTACTCACTAAAGGAGAGCTTGAACCTATGTACTTGTGTAAACCCTTCACAATTAATGAGAACTCATCTATTCCGTGGACGTAGCCAATCTGGGTGAACCACGTACATCTTGTGTTTGCTTTCCTATCTCTATTCATTTATATACTTATCCACACTAATGACCGGAGCAATCTAGCGAAGATCACAAAAAGTGACCGTTTTCGCTACCTAGGATCTATCTTGCAAGAGAACGGAGACTTAGATGGAGATCTCAACCATAGAATACAAGCTGGATGGTTGAAGTGTAAGAGTGCATCCGGCGTGTTTGTGTGACCGTCGTAGGCCACTGAAGCTCAAGGGAAAATTTTATAGGACGGCAATAAGGCCGCGATGTTGTATGGCACAGAATGTTGGGTGGTGAAGCATCAACACGTACACAAAATGGGTGTAGCGGAGATGAGGATGCTTCGTGGGAGGTATGGGCACACGAGAAAGGATAAGATTGAGAATGAGGATATCCGAGGTAAAGTAGGAGTAGCCAAAATTGAAGGAAATATGAGAGAAAATCGGTTCCGGTGGTTTGGACATGTGCAAAGAAGGCCTACTGACGCTCCGGTTCGAAAATGTGACTATGGGACAGAGGTTCAGGGCCGAAGGGGTAGAGGAAGACCTAGGAAAACTTTGGAATAGACCCTAGGAAAAGACTTGAGTACTTGGATCTAACGGAGGACATGACACAAAACCGAGCACAATGGCGTTCTAGGATTCATATAGCCGACCCCACTTAGTGGGAAAAGGTTTTGTTGTTGTTGTTGTTGTTGTTGTGAGTATTTCTATTAGCTCTAACTAGTAACCATTTATAACAATGCAGCTGCCTGCATGACGTGGGAATTGGCAGAATCAGGAGCTGGTTTCATTACTTCTGTTATCAATGGAGCTGACCTAGTGCCCACGTTCTCTGCTGCGTCAGTGGATGATTTGCGTGCTGAGGTTATGTTCTTAAACTCTGTGATTGAGTGCTTGATTGACTACCTTATTGGATTAGAGGTCCTTGGGAGATTGCTATCTTTGTTGTGGGGTGAATGATGGTTATCTTGTTGACTAAATATGCTGATTTTGATGAGGGACGGCACTTCTTGAATAGGGTCAAAACTACTATATAGTCCCTATAAATTGACTTGGACAAAGTTTATAGTACTCAAGACTTTTATTTGTTGCTGCTGATAAAGCTTTTCTCTGTACATTTTTGGTTCTTCTAAATAGTTTGTGTTCTTACCGGTGATTTTAGTCCAATTACGGAAATGCTCTTTACTCTAGTACCATCTCTGCATGCTCTTTTCTCATTTCTCTTTGAGTTATTGTGATATTTACTGGAATAAATGGGCTTTCGGCAAGAATTAATGATATTAGTTGAGTTTGCCCAATATTTTTTTTCATGATACCTTGTTAGCTCCTAAATTTTTTTCTCTATGCATCCATTCAGTGCTGGTTCTCTGGCTTGTTGGTACTTGAAAAACTTGCATGCTTTCTGTAGTTTTATTGAAGCATTCCAAATGCTTATGATATTCCTTTTTGATCTACTGTATATTTCTTTCTAAGTTCTAACGTATTGTTTTATAAAATATTGTTATCTTTTTACAGGTTACGGCATCTGCTTGGATAAATGACTTGAGAAATCAGATTGAGCAGACAAGAATTCTTAGCACTGTCTATCGATCTGCCTCAGCTTTGGGTTCACGGCTTCCCTCCATTGCCAGTGCTAAAGCAAAAGTTGCCGGGGCAGGGGCAATTCTACGCCCTGTTTCCAATGGTACACAGGTAACCTGTTTTCTTTTAATGTAGTTTTGTCGCACACCATATTTTTTCCTTTCACAATCTTGTAATCAACTAAATACTTTTGATATGTGTCATGTCTCGTGACATATGTCTGGTGACATTCTTGTTATAGAAGCTTTCAACCTTGTAATTCGGTGATTGGAACTTTGAATCTGTGCTCCTCTTCTACTTAATCATTTGATTGGCTTGTGAAACTTTCTGATTTCACAGGTCGTTATGAGAAGAGCCCAGAGCATGGCTCAGGCAGCATGGACTCGTCCTTCCCTTGGCTTGTCATCATGGTCGTGCATGGCTCCTCGTCACCGAGCCTCGGTTGCTCATTCAAACTCAAATGATGAAGGAAGTTCTGCCGGATCCTCCGGTGGCAGCACAGAGACTTCTGACCCTCTTCTTACACCCCCCAAGAGAATCACAAGCTCAGCTGCCATTGAAACCATCGACCTTCCTGTATCTTCATCTGTAGGAATGGACTGGACTTCAGGGATTGATTATTCTTATTCTGATAGAATGCGTCAAGACACTGATGGTGAAGTCAGTGATGAGCGTGAGGGGCTCACAGACCATGATAGACATGAAGACCGTATGACAGAGGTTGAATTGTGGCAACAACTTGAGCTTGAGCTTTATGATAGAACAGAAGGTGAGGATGCCGATGTGGCAAATGAAATAAGGAATGCAGAAAATGAAATACGGGAAGAAGAAGAAGCTGCAATAGCGGAGGCAAGCGATGGTCAGCCCGAGCGCTCTGCTCCTGACATGAAGGAAGCGCATAGATTTTTTCCTGCAGGGAAAATCATGCATATTGTTACCGTTTACCATGGTGGTGCTGATAGTGAATCGAGCCACTCGGGCAATGAGCAGCCAGAAGAGACTAGGGTTGGTATTTTCCTCACTCCAAGATCTCTGTACAGTAAGCTGAGGTTGTCACAAACCATGATTAGTGATCACTTCATGCCGGTATATAGAAGACAGATTGAAAAGTTAATTAAAGAACTCGAGGAAGAAACAGCTTCCATCGGAGAAGTGGTATTATAGGAAAGGAACATTGGAATAACAATTCGTCTATACCCTCTGCACCGGACGTGGATTTTTGCCCCTATAAATTTTGAATCTGAGCTGCATAGAGACAGAAATCGTCCTTCATTTGCGTTGCTGCAATGTAGGAAGAACGGCGATAGCTTGATGCTGCAACTTTCAAATCGAAGAACCATGGATAAAGCAGCATGCAGTTCCGAAAATCTTCGTCATCTGTAAATTAGTTGAGGTGCTACTGTTGATTTATTTGTTTTCTTTTCCTCTTCAAATTTAGGTGGTAGGCTACTTTTAGTAATTTTTATGTTGAACTTGTGGGTTCTACTATGGGCTCTCTGCGCCCTGATCGACATTAGTTTCTTCAGTTGCAGGAGAAAGGCTTCCGTGGCAGGGAAGGCTATGTGTAAGTTTTTCTTCATATGAATTTGTGGGATTTGCATGGGACGCAACGGGGGTATACGTGCCATGGAAATTGCTCTCTAGCTATAAGGGATGCGGTAGGAGTTTGCCATATTAATTTTGTTACAGAGACTTTAAACATCTTCCTTGAGATATCATAAGCAGGCAAATATGGCAATGTAAATATTAATTGTTTTGCTAAATTTTGCAGATTTTCTATTAGCACTTCACGTATTGTATTGCTGAATAAATTCACAACTTTTTTATAAATTGATTTATATACCCTACAATATTAAATGACTATTTAGGCCCTTAAGGAAATGAAATGTCTTTTTTTTTTAAATATTTTTTAATGCACCCCAAATCATAACACGAGGCAAGTGGTTATTTACCATAATGGTAGAAAGGTATTAAGCTTTTGCATAATTGCGTGGATTCAAATTTTATTGGTGGTTAATCTAACAAAATTTATTGTTTGACAAAAAAAAAAAAAAAAAAAAACATGAGGCGGTTTACCAATTTGAATGTTTTACTCCCAACCTACTGCAAAAGCTGTAACAAGCATAACGTTCGGAAAAAATGACTGATATTCACACTCGACAATGAGGTAATTTCGATGAAAAAAATTCAAAAGATAAAGATGACAATGAGTCATTTAAAAGTATCTTCAAGTTATTGGTAGACAATCAAGTAGCTAATTACTTTAAAATTAGAGTTTCCTTCCATGATTGGTTTAATGTGTTGTTAGCAATTTCCCCGGAATCATCTAAAGATATGTACATGACAAATTTCAAGGCTTCCCTTAAACAAAAAATTGGAGGTTTGGGGTTCGAATCCCGTTGCTGGTGTGGAAGCCAGACTTGTAGCCAGGTGGAGGCTAAAATGCTTCTGTGAGTCTTTCTGTCCCTCAGAATAAGTGGATAATCATGACTTGCCACCAGTTGTCCTTTTTTTTTAATCTAAGATATTACCTGGTCAAATCGAAATGTAGAATAGATGTGTTCACTCTTTGTTATAAAAATTGGGGTGAAGCACTGATTTAGTCGCTGAATTATCACCTCAGTGAAAATTAGATACTTAAATTAATTTTTTTTTGCGCAAAATAAGTCCCTAAATTAATTAAAAATTGCTATTTTCATCACTACTATAATCTTCAAAGCCATTTTATCCAATTTTTCGTCAACTTTAGTCATTTGACACACTTTAAAGTGTAATACCATTCTTTTCTCGCCTATAAGACATTAACATTTCACATAGATTGCAAATCTAACATCTAATTTACCCTTTAAAGTTTATTTTTTATTTTTATTATTATTGAATTACCCTCTAAAGTTAACTCCATACACTATTTCTTTATGTAAAATTACCTATCTATCCTCCAATTTGTATCACATACAAGTAACATGACTTAGATTGACGGAAAATTGAATATAGTAACTTCGAATATAATATTAGGAATGTAATTGGCAAACTTTTATAATTCAAGAATTGATTTTTCTGAAGAAAAAAAAAATAGTTTAGGGACCTAATTTTCACTCAGGTGATAATTAAGGGACTAAATTTGTAGTTTACCCTAAAAATTGAGTTCGTTCTGGTTTAGGTTTTTATATTGCGGATTTTGTTTGTGGTCGAGAAAACGAACACACAAGTTATTATTATTTTTAAACAAACGAAGAGTTTGATGTGAGGTTTAAGTGAGTGTGACATGTACGTAAAGAGTGTAGGGTGTGAGGGTAGTAATGTGAGGTGTGTTAAAATAAATTTTGATTTAAAACATAGATGGCGGTGTATTAAGTATGTTAGGACAGGTCAACAAAATATGAAGTGCGAATAAAACCACCCTTTTATTAAATGTTCCCTTTAAACATTTACCGTTGCTATTTATTTAAACACATAAAACTCGAATGATTATAGATTAGTTACTTTTGCCACTAATCGAACAATAGTTATTTTTGTTTGTTTGATTAAAATCGAAGCTTAAATTAATCATAGAGACCAGAATCCTGCAAAGGAATTCCACTTGTAAAGGAAAATTATCGAGCTATGCGGAATTGGAGTTCCACATCAAATGCAACTCTTTGTGGTACAAATATCATGCCAACTTGCATCAGAAATTTAATTAATTAATGGGTGATTCTAAAGAGACTATCAAATTGAATCATATTTTGTAAATCATGAAAAATCATATTTTGTAAACTACATAACATGTCAGTTGAGAGTTAAATTCCTTGATTAAAACATTAAAGAAGAGGTCCAATCATCAACTTTACATATTACGTGCCTTATAAAATATGATCAAAATACACGGTCTCTCTAGCATTTTTCTTAATTAATTTACTATCTTTGTTTGCTTTTGGTGATATCTACAGGTTCATATATTAATGTACACTAGGCCAACCTTGGTGATGTATACCGCAACTAGATTACTAGTTGTCCAAGTAACTTATAACACTACCATGATTCTGAACTTGTACTATAACTCCTAGTAGTAAATTAATTTAAATGTACATGGATGCTCTTCATCTCTCTTTTCTTTATATGCTCTCTATCTTAATCACAACAAATGAAGTTTAAACAAAAGGGTTGTCAGACGAGCCGTAGATATTGATCAACAAATAAAATGAATGGATATGACAACTACACATCATTCTTCTTCTCTTATGTACACAATCACGTTTAATCTTATAATTTGTTTTCGTTTAATTTCTTCAATTTAATTGCTAAAAATAAAGAAGTGTGTATAAAGAGACAAATAATGTGTGTTTATTATCTCACAAACTGAATGCAGACTCATGCATTCTCAATCGACACTCCGTTTGATTTTTAATTTTAATATTTGATAAGTCACTGTCCAAGCTCACATCTCTCTAAAGACTTGCAGAAAGATTCTTCTTTATTTATTAATGCATAAGAGTTAAACACTGAACAGATGGTCAACTGAACTTAATTAGCACAAGTAATCTTTGAGTTTATTTTTTACTTTTATATTAAGGGATGTAAATTATACACGACCATGCTTTTGATTTCATTGTCGAGATCGATTAAGTTAAAAGCACTTTGCAAAAGCAAGAAAGAAAAGGTCTTCTAGCCCATGAAATGAAACAAAATAAGCCGAAATCATGAAAGCCAATGGTTTTGTGGTATGATGCATGCAACCACATTGTGGGAGTTTTATCTGTTTTACGAGCTAAGACATTGTGTTTTTGGTTGGGTACTAATATTTAATTTAGTTATCCTATTGACTAGAACCTTTTATTCATAATTAAAAAATGGTTAACCAACCAAATACTTACCTGGCTTTTAATACACATACTATTAGAGGGAAAAAAACCAAGCACAGAGTTTTAATTGCATGAATAAACGCTTTTATACACTTGAGATGCTGCTCTTTATGCATTTATTTTTAAAGAACAAATACTTATGACCAAAAGGAAAAAAAAAAAAAGGCATAGAGAAATTGAAATAAATCATGTCCTTGGCTTGGTTCGTTTGTGAAAGGATAGACGGCCATGCATGTCTCTCTGCTGAGTTTTTGAAGGGTTATCGACCACAAATTCTAAATCAATTCAACATAAAACAGTTTGATAGCTATCATTCTGGTTGCTATACATTTCTGCATGCATATTACCCTAGCTAGCTAATATATACACACTTTTGCTTTCGTTTATAATCCACCACGATTAGGTTATAGAAATCCAATAAAAAAGTTTTAAACACCAAAAGAAAAGGAAAAGATCATGAAGAAAAGAAATTTCACGACAAACAGTACTGAAACTAAAGAGGCACTCTTTTGACATATGGAAGACAATCATAAACCTTGTTTGGATCAAAACTTGATTTTTGGCCCAAGGATGGAGTCGGCCCAAAAGGAGGCCTGGAGGAATAGAAGATCAAAGCCCGGCCGAAACTTGGGAAAGCAGGAAAGGGCCTTTTCTGACTTGATACAATTCACAAAGGCCACTTGCCTACCTACCCAAGGACCAAGTGGTGTAGACTCATCAGACTGCACAACCCATGAAGTACTTTATGGGGGCATTACATGTAATAAAACCGATGAGTCATCACCCTCAGACCGCATTCGGGCAAAGCTGTTGCTACAGGAGCCAAACCAAGTTGTCTATAAAAAGAGGAAGAGAAGACAAAGACAAAGACACTCAATCAAACAAACAAAAGCACAAACTTTGCTCAAAAAGCCAGATTTGCCTTTCAAAACAAAGCTGTAGTCAGCTCAAGCCTTCATCCCCCGCGGGATAGTCTTTTCTCCTAACCTTTGTAATAGCTCTGCTACCTTGTTCAAACTTGTTGTAGTATTGATTCACCTTTTGTATTCTCCTTTCCTCTCTCCCCCTTTAAGTTTTCAGACCCTTGACAGAACTACAAAGATAGGGACCTGCAAGACGATCGACCTTAATTGATAAGGTTTAATCTTGCCCGACCTGCTTTGTTCTGTCTTTGTCTTCTCTTTCTTTAAAGTCTAGCAATATGTTGTATATTTCTAGTTATATGCAAGTTGTTTCTAGCAAAATCATGATGACAAAGCTTTCTCAGTACTTGGATCCGATTTAAATATATCTTCAGTGTTTAAATCAGATCCAAGTCCTAAGCCCGCAGGCATGTAAATCTGATTAGTTTAAAAGTCCTTGGCCTCAAGGCATAAAAAAGAACTTTATGTGGACTTAACCCATCCACGACAATCCTTGATAAACGAGAAGTCCGAAGTTACTTGGGGCGCAAGTAATCGACCTACCTCCTGGTTTTATTTCTATTATATCATGATTATTATAGAACGCTTAAGTATGGAATGGATTCTGATAGGAAGCCTCAAGGCCTACGCCTAAGGCCCCACAAAGGCACTTATCTGGATTCATTCTATTCTGCGATCTAAATGGTTTGAGTATAAGAACGGACTCTAATAGGAAGCCTCAAGGCCTACACCTAAGGCCCCACAGAGGCACCTATTTGGGTTCGCTCTACCTCGCAGACTCGGATAATCAGAAATATAATAGTTATCAGACCCCGACAACCATAAAGACCGAATATAATATGCTCAAGTGCTGATTTAGTTTGACAGGAAGCCTCAAGGCCTACACCTAAGGCCTCACAAAGGCGCCTGTTATATCTAACACGGTTCCTCGGGCATATGCATATTCACAACTAAAACTTGACATCCATTCGACATCTGCCATGCTAAAGATGGCAGTGGCACGCCTGAGCACTACAATGTTAACCTTGATTGTGAGCCTTAAGGCCTACACCTAAGGCCCCACAAAGGCACCTCTCAAAGTTAACGATGTCCTTCTCTTTCAGCCTTGCCCGAAGAGACTTGCCCGACGAGACTTGCCCGACAAAGCCCGACAGGAAAGCAGAAGCCCGACAGCAGCCCTCAACCGGCGCCGAACCTCCAGGGGAGCTGTGTGCTCGTTGGCCAGGAAACGTCCCCTACGAAAATTCCTGCCCCGAACAAACCTCAAACATTATAAACAAAATCATGCAGTAACAATACTAAAATGGTAAAATCATGATATTGTTGGACTTAGTATTGTTTTAGAAATGTGATTGTGTAAATTAAAAGTAAGAATCCCATAAGATCTAGAAGATCATTTCCTTGTATATGATTTGTATTCCTTGGAAATCAAATCAAGCTAGAAGCTAAACCCATAAAACATTTACAGTTGCTATTTATTTAAACACATAGAACTCAGAATATAGATTAGTTACTTTGTAACTAATCGAACAATAGTTATTTTTGTTTGTTTGATTAATATCGAAGCTTAAATTAATCGTAGAGACCAGAATCCTGGAAAGGAATTCCACTGGTAAAGCAATGGCAGGGCCACCCATAAGGCTAAGGTGGATTGTAGTCTACAGAGGTTTTCTGTAAGGGTAGTGCTATCCATGCACTCATTTTTACTTCTTATACACTCCTCTCAATTTCCGGTTCTCGGATCGCATGAATTGAAGATGATCAACGATAAAAAATTAATAAGGGTGTGTTGGAGGTAAATAGGTGTGTAAATAACACTATTCTTTTGCAAACTCATGCTTATAGCCCACACAATTTCAATACAGGTTATTCTTTAGTGTATATGTAGTAGAGGATAGGTAGTAAATAATACGTTTATGCTAAAAATTATAAATTAGTTCTATCTCTTTTCCCCCTTTTATCCTATTCGTTAAAGAAAAAGACCATTTACCCTATGTGATTCAGCCTATGTGCTTCTTACTCAAGAAAAGAAAAATAACTGTTTTAAATCCACAATTAAATCCCTATCTCCAAAGTTCATTACTTTCCGTTACAATTTTCCAATGAATGTCACCTTTGGTACATTCTTAATCTCTTTATTTACTTATTCTTGATTTAATTAGTAGGTTAATTAGTTATATAGTCCTTGAATTTATCGGTTAGGGTTATAGTTTTGAGAATAGTTTATAATCTATTGTTGTTCTTTTATATTGATTGTTATATAATTTTATATAAGCAAAATAATAAAAATATGATTTTATGATACTAATTCCAAGTAGCTCATCCAAGTAAAAAAAATCCTAACTTCGCCCTTGTTGTAAAGTAAAATTATCGAGCTATGTGGAATTGGAGTTCCACATCGAATGCAACTCTTTGCAGTACAAATATTGTGCCAACTTGGATCAGAAATTTAATTAATTAATGGGTTCTAAAGACACTATCTAATTAATCATATTTTGTAAACCCCATAATATGTTAGTTGACAGTTGAACTCCTTAGTTAAGACATTAAAGAAGAGATCCAACCATCAACTTTTCTACATTAGTGCCCTATAAAATATGATCAAAGAACACAATCTCTCTAGTATTTTTCTTAATTAATTTACTAGCTTTGTTAGCTTTTGGTGATATTTAAACCAGGACGACCTTGATGATATATCACGCAACTAGATTTACCACTTGTAGTAAACAACAAGCAACTTAGCCCGCGCGATGCCGCGGGTCTAAAACCATGTTAAACGTATAAAATATATTAAAATATATTTACTTCTATATCAAAACATATTTATATCTTTATAATCAATAAAAAAACAAAAGATACATGTTTGTACAATATATTACAAGACTCTAAGGCTCATGTCTTTAGTTCTAGTGATTCATACTTCCTCAGCAAATCAACCATTTGTTCTTTACTAATGTCCAAGGCCTGTTATGGAGAAGGCAAATGGAGTATAAATGTCAATGGGGCTACCAACACGTAACTTAAATTTAGTTAAGAAAGTATAATAAATTTAAAAGCAAGAAATTAGAAGATAGCTAAATCATGTAGAAAGTCATAATAATAATCATAATTTAGATGAAACACATGAAACTGGAGTGGTCTTAAGCATTTATATTGAATTCAAAATAGAAGAAAATTCAATTAGGCTAGAATGGAAAATTTTAAGCTTTTTTAACATAATAAATTCGCCAGCACATACTACTCATTTGATATGTGGTATGACATAACTCTAAAACTTATCCAAGTTTACACAATCATACTTGGCACTCGTCAGTTTTCACCTATTACAAATGCAGAGCAGCACTACATTCCAAAGTTAATTTCAATAGGAAATACTACTGTCCAATGATTTTTCCGATCAAAGGAAAAGAAATCTCCAATGATTAGGTGATGTGACTCAATTGGCAAAGTCAAGCAGAGATCGCTACCTACCTATTCCAAAGCTAAAATTCAAGCGGAAATCTATATAATGATTTGGTGAGATGATTCCAATGTGAGAACCAAGCAAAGAGCACCGAAAAATAAACCTCAATAATCGAGCAACAAAATCATAAACCAAGGGATGCAGCTATTATGATGTACTCGGTTATCTTTAAGAATACATAACCTCCTACCTAAAGCTTATAATGTTATATCACCAACAGTCATAGATAAGAACCAAAATAAGCACCATAATCCAAAATACATGATTTTATTAAGCAAAGAGAGGGAAACAATTTCACCATAACAAAATCAAAGGAACCAAGTTTCAGCCAAGAACCAATCAAAATAACACCACACAAACACCAAAAGTAGCACCAATTCCACACAAAAATGTAAACTTGTACAGAAATTACTACGACTTGAACAAAATTCAAGCTACCCACCAACAACTAACAGAAATACCAATGTTTCCAACAGAGAAAAAAAAAATACTGCAAATAAAAAATCCAACATATTATATAGAAGGACAACAGCTTTACCTCCTCGAAGAACAATAATTGAAATTTCAGCACTTGGATTTGTTGGGTGGTAGCAGTGGATTCAACTCAGTATTCGACTGTTCATTCTCAGCTTTTCATGTTATTGTCCATTCCTCTTTATCTTAATAAAGTTTATTTCCTGAAAAAAAATTTAAAAAAAAAAAGATTTTTAATTAGTAATGGATTAAAACTAACATGTAATATAGAACTTCTGTGTTTCACTTTCTTATTGGTTCAAGGCTCAAGAAAAGTATTTCATGAGCTGCAAAAAAATAAAAAATCAAGAAAATGATTATAGTTGTTCTATATCATCCTATTGAAACCATTAAAATAGTTTTTACATTATGTGAAGCAAATTATATGAAAGTAAAATTCAATTGAAATGTCAATTAACGGAAGATCTAAATTGTTCATATATTAAATCATGATATAAGCAGAGGACCCTTTTACCACAACTTGATCCACACTGTTGGCAACTGAAACAGTTTGATTCTTTATAAACAAAAGGAAAAGGAAAAGAGAAAGACAATTAGCATTTGAAATCAAACGATCAGAAACTTAATATGTGCTTACCCCCTCCTCTTGACTTTCAACTCCGCCTGCATATTTTTAAAAAAAATTACATATTAAATTAAATAAAAACAATTCAATAAAATTAATCACAAATTTCATTTGAGTAATCATCAAAGTCGAGAGTGTATCGAGAGTGTATATAGGTGAATTATGGACAATTTACTATGGCTCAGTCAAGTAAGGACCAATTGTAAAAAGTAACATGAAGTCAAAGTGTAATGAAAAAAAAAGAAGATGAAATAAAGATGGTAATATTATCACAAAAACAGCAGCAATAGACCTTAATTAATTAAGGTGCCATATTTTAGTGACCAAAGAAAAGCTAACAATTAACAAAGCATGGATTTATTTGAGAAAAAAAAAACACAGGATGCAATAACATTATCTCTTTCCAAAAGAATATAAAAATACTACTAGGGATTCAAAAATATTAGTTAACGCAAACAAACAGCAACAAAGCCATTAGACATAAGGTAAAGTACCAAAAACTTGATCCAAGAAAAAAGAATCATTTACCTCTACGGCTTTAACCATGTGACGAGGGAACTTCCTCTTTCCCATTTAAATGGTGGATTGAATACCAAACATGCTTCTTTCCAAAGAGAAGTGCCTGATGAAGATGAAAAAAAATATATAATTCAGATTACATCAAAAGAAGTAATAAAGTGGATAAGAATGGCAAAGCATGAAAATTGAACACGATGAATTACTGACATGATTAAATTTTCTATCTTCAACTCTCCGACTAATTTTTTTTTTTTGGTAAAAGGATAGATTCAAAGAACAGAGAGGCACAAGGCCAAACAACACGCAGAAACAACCTCCGCAACCCCAGAAGATACAGACACAGATAAATAGGATCAAGAAAGACACCACCACAATAGGTACCAGTGTCGCCCTATTACCAGTGCAACCCATCCCCAATTACAAAGGAGGACATGGAAGACCATCTTTGTTCAAAATGCCAACTAACGAAGATGGAGGTTGAACAACCCAGCCAAAGCTGCACATCTCCGGTGAAATGCTCATTGCGACAAAATCCGCCGCCATATTTGCCGATCGTGGAATCCACGACCAGGAGCATGAATGAAAACTCCTCCCAACATCCAAGATACGGCTAAGAATTGGGAGAAGGTCCCCATCACAGCTCAAATGAGGGGAATTGAGGGACCGAATAACCCCTTGTGCGTCCGACTCAATTACCACCTCCTGCACTTGCAAACACTTAGCCAACAAGCACCCTTCCAGAATTGCAAGAGCTTCAGCCATCCTAACCAAAGATGAATGCATCCATACACTTTTAACCGCCCTGCAACCTGACAACCAATCACGGGCCACAGTCCCAATCTTACCACAACAGGAGTCCCTCCTCCAACACGCATCAACATTCACCTTAATCTTATTGACTGGGGGAGGAGACCAAAGAGTGAGAAGGCGCGTACCTCAAGGACGACTAGTTTGGATTGTGGATGATAACAGCAGGGGAGCGGAGGCTTGCATAAAAGACTCTAAAGCAGTAATGATAGTTAGAATAGATGGAAGAGGTGAGGGCTTAACACCGTTGAAAACAACATCACATCAGGCTCTCCAAATAAACCAACATGTAAAAATCAGGTACCTCATAGACCGAGGGAGATCCTCCTGACAACCCATATTTTGATTTATCGCCCCATACACTCATTCAGCCAAAGTAGTAATTGAGCTTTGATTGATCTGAGCATTCAACGGACCCCCAAACCATACTCTAGACACCCAAGGACACAGAAGGAGAATATGCTCCATGGTCTCCACACATTCATTACAAACTGGGCAAATGGGAGATATAGCACAACAATTAACCGTTTGAAAGAATTGCGTAAAACAATATTGATTTTATGAATTTGGTAGACATAAAATATCTCTTTGCTTCAGTGGTTGAAAAGAGAAATGGAGAAAGCGTGAATGTGTATATAAAAAGTTGAACCTTATGGGAGACAAAGAAATAACTTTACAGCTAGCAAACTATTAGAAATTCTATTTTCAAACTCACTTACGTTATCAACAATGCCAACCTTTGCCTCCTCTCTCCCTTTGCATTGGGATGTATAAGTTTGCCTTAAATAAAACCCTGTAAGAAAGGGAAAGTAGAAGAAAGTTTAGGGAAGTTAAAATGAAAGATACAATATGGACAAATTGTAACTATTAGTAATAATAACCGATGTAATCAAACATAAATAAAATGGTATGGTATAGTTTTATTCTTTTTCATATAGTTATGAGGTTCGAGTCTTATGAAATAGCGAGTTTGATACAAATTATTAATGATGGAATGGCTAGTTTTATTCTCTTTAAAAAAAGTCACATTCAAAACCAAAATTCAATGCCAAAAACCAATACCAACATGATTCAAAGAACCTTGCAGGATGTTAATTCTTTAGTCTTAATTTGAAGACTAAAAATAAAATAATTTGAAGCTACATTGATTAGTATTAGGCTTAGCCTCAAATATTCTTCAACAGATGCAATCCATAATTAAGACAAATTCGAAAGAATTGAGCCTTACCTGATCAATGATAAAACAACATACTCAGAAATACGATTTCAAATTGAATTTGAATGATGACAGCCACCTCTTTCTCTGAGTTCGAAGCTGGAAATTGAACAAAATACAATAAAATTTGAATCATACAATCCAAATTTCAAACAAAGGGCTAAATTTGCATACATACAACTCAACGACTAAGATTGTTACTACATATTATTCAAGAACTAATTACCAAAAACAACACTTTGAGGTTCATACCTTTAGTTTTTGTTCATTTATTATTTTTCTCAGTAAATCAACCATTTGTTCTTTATCAATTTCCAAGACCTGTTATAGAGAAGGCAAATAGAGCATTAAAAATTAACTGGGTTAGCAACATGTAACTTAAATATACTTAAGAACGTATATTTACTTCAAAACTAAGAAATTAGAAGATATCTAAATCATGTAGAAAGTCATGAACTCAAGAACTAAACTATCCCAGTGAGTCTGAAATTGAGAGATACCCATTAAACAAACATTTCAACGATTTGGGAGATACCCATTAACTTTTCGACTTGAGAGATACCCATGTCGATTTTTCAAGATTGATAGAGAAAATGAGCAACCTAAATAATTAGGGAGGTTTATATATACCTGGCGAATGGGAAGGATAACCAAGAGGGGTTTCCAAAACCCCGTCTTGAAAAGAAAGACGGAGATCAAGGTCGGCATGACCTTTAGACATGCTTTCGCTCTCTCTCTTCGTCTTATGCGTCAATGATTTTTGTTACAGTCTTTGCTTGCAGCAATGGAGGTAGGTGGAGGGTCGGTGAGGAGGAACTTGAGCTCTTTTTGCAGTCGGAGGTTGAGAGCAATGGAAAATTAAGAGATTCATCCCTTTCAGATATCAATCCCCAAATCCTCTTCAACAATTCGGATTAGCCAACACTCTGGCCTAAAGCCCAAATCTGTCTACAAAAGCTCTACCTCAAGTGGGCAAACTCCCAAAATAATATGAAAATTACCCAAATCCATACACCCTTCCAAAACCATAGCAATCGATATAAATTTGAAACCAAAAATAATTTCAAGGAAATTGATAGATAGTCAAATTTATTTGAGGAGATGAAGAGGGTAACCTACTTTAGTACAATTTACCTCTAATTCATCCTTCTGGGTTGCCTTCCCTCCTCTTTTGGTAGACTATCTCATCCACAAACAGGTGTTTCTCACAGCAGTGTCGTCTGACCAAGTTAAATGGATTATACTCATCTAGCCATCTTGCCCGCTCTGATGGAGCAATCTTTCTTCTATTAATCTACCTTCGTTGGGTAAATATGACTGAATTTTGGGTTGTGGATTTAAGATTTCTCGTTCTAGGGTTTGATGGAGTCTGTAGCCAGTTGGAGAAAGATTGAAGCGGTGGAAAGGAAGCAACAAAACCGCGAGAGAAGAAAATTAAAAGGGAATAAAACATGAGACCAAGATTGAAGCGGTGGAAAGGATGAACAATGAGTTGAGGAGAGAGAGGGAAGAAGTAGCGAAAACCCACGTGTTCCATTTTGTTCTCCTTTTGACAACAAAGCAAACCGGCAAAATCGAAATAACAACAAAATAGGCGGGGGCAAAATCGGAAATCCACTGTGCTTATGAACAGTGATTCAGGCGTTTTTCTCTTTTAGTATAGATTGAATTTTAAATTTAAACATAAAAGTTATCAGACGAGCAGTAGATATTGATCAACAAATAAAATGAACGGATATGGCACATCATTCTTCTTCTTCTTTTGAGTACACACTCATGTTTAATCTTACAATTTGTTTTCGTTTGATTTCTTCAATTCAATGACTAAAAATAAAGAAGAGTATGTATGATCATCATTTCCCAAAATGAATGCAGACTTATATGTATTCTCAATCGAGATTCTTTAATTTTAATATATGATGAGTCATTGCCCAAGCTCACATTATTTGATCGTCTCTGAAGACTTGCGTAAAGATTTTTCTTCATTTATTAATGCATAAGAGTTAAACATCGAACAGAGGGTCAACTGAACTTAATTAGCACAAGTAATCTTTGGATTTTTATTATTACTCTATATTAAGGGATGTAAATTATACACGATCATGCTTTTGATTTCTTTGTCAAGATCGATTAGTTAAAAGCACTTTGCAAAAGCAAGAAAGAAAGGGTCTTCTAGCCCCTGAAATAAAATAAAATAAGCCGAAATCATGAAAGCCAATGGTTTTGTGGTATGATGCATGCAACCACATTGTGGGAGTTTTATCTGTTTTACGAGCTAGCCTATACTAATATTTAATTTAGTTATCTTAATTTTTTTTTTATCAAATGATAGATTTTGTTAGATTAGCCTTTAACGGAGTTTATACCCATACCATCATACAAGGGCTCAAGTTCAACACAATTCCATCACTGTGGTAAAATGCCACTTGCATTTAGTTACCTAAATTGACTCAAACCTTTTATTCATGGTTAAAAATGGCTAAACAACCAAATACTTACCCATCTTTCAATACGCCAATACTATTTGAGGGAAAAAGCCAAACACAGAGCTTTAATTGCATGAATAAACGCATTTATCCACTTGAGATGCAGTTCCTTATTTATTAATTTTTAAGGATCAAATACTTATGAGCAAAAGAAAACAATAAAGCATAGAGAAATTGAAAAATCATGTCCTTGGATTTCGTTTGTCAAAGGATAGATGGCGATGTCTCTCTGTTGAGTTTTTGAAGGGTTATCGACCACAAATTCTGAGTCAATTCAACATAAAACAATTTGATGGCTATCATTCTGGTTCCTATTTCTGCATGCATATTACCCTAGCTAATATGTACACACTTTTGCTTTCCTTTAAATCCACCACAATTAGGCTACAGAAATCCAATAAAAAAGTTTTAAACACCGAAAGAAAAGCAAAAGATCATGAAGAAAAGAAATTTCACGAGAGTAATGATTTTCAAACGGTATTGATCAACTAAAGAGGCACTCTTTTGACATATGGAAGACAATCATAAACCTCAAAAATTATAAACAAGATCATGCAATAACATTACTAAAATGGTAAAATGATGATATTGTTGGACTTGTATTATTTTAGAAATGTGAAAGTGTAGATTAAAAGTAGGAATTCTATAGGATCTAGAAGATCAATTCCTTGAAAACAAATAATTCCTTGTATGATTTGTATTCCTTGGAAAACAAATCAAGCTAGAAGCTAAACCCCTTTTCTCCATCCGCATGCTGTCCCTCTCTCTTCTCTCTTTCTCTCTCTCTCACACAAATATTATTACTGCAACAGATATTTCAATCAAAAGAAATATATATACACACACACATATATATATATATATATACATACATATATATATACATATATATATATATATACATACATATACATACATATATATGTATATGTATGTATATATATACATATACATATATATATATACATACATATATATATATATATATATATGTTGAAAGTGTATTCCAATGACTTATAAGTAAGTTGGGCTACTTTTCATATTACCAATTAGTTTTATGGTGGAATCTCAACTTTCTTTATGGTATTAGAGTAGGTTTGTCATGTTCTAGTCCTAAGCTATGTCCATGATCGACATATGACATTTGAAGTACCTGTTCAACTATCATGCCTCGCTTCCGAGGCATGACCAAAAGAACCCATCAATTCACAAGCGTAAAAACTTTTCCTTTTATTTCATGGGTGCATCTAACCACTGTGTTAGATTGCCTACGTACCCTAAGATGGGGTCAAGCCATTTGTAGTTCACACTTTAATTAAACTCTGACATTTCCCATGGCATTCAATCTTTTATATACCTCACAATGATTTTCAATAACAAAACCACAATCAATGACATTTTAGTGGATCAACAATCCACAAAATTTAACGTTTAACCACATTAATCCAAAAATAAGATCAAACATCACTTCAAACCTTGGGGATAACCATTAGCATGGAGATCAATCACAACGAATCGTAACAAAGCCATCCTCTGTAAGGCTTGCTGCAATTCTCTACCAGAATTTCAAAGTAACAACATTGTAAACCTAAGTTACAAATACAAGTGTAACCTTGAGCAACTTCTACTAATAAGAATCTAGAGTTTCAGACCAACTCAATGGAACCAGACAGGAGATGGGATTTTGACCAACTCAACGAAACCAGACATGATATGGGATTCCAACCAACTCAACGGAATCCAATCGAAGATAGGGTTCCAGACCACTCAATGGAACTGATAGGAAAATGGACTCCGGACCACTCAATGGAATTCAATGAAGATAGCGTTATGGACCACTCATTGGAACAGATAGGAAAAGAGATTCCAGACTACTCAACGGAACTAATAGGGAAAAAGGCTCCGGGGCACTGAACAGAATCCATCGGAGTCGGGGTTCCAGATCAACTCACGGAACCCTAACAGAGCACGGTTTCAGGCTACTCAACAGAATTGAACAGAATTCTAGGAACCTAGTTTGGTATTACTCAATGGAACTAGACATGATACAAGTTTGATGTCACAACTCCCCATAATAATGAGTTAACGGTCCTCGACTATCCCTCTAGTTTCACAAACATTTCAAATATGCATAACAACCAAATTTTATAAAATAGATCGATGGCTGAATTTAAAAGCAATCTTTATTAGAAAACACATTTTGTAAATCCATACCATATAGATCTGACAATTTCTTACACTATACCTGCACGAAAACGACATAAAAACAAGTTTCGGGTCGACATGATAACTAATTGGGTCATTATTGGGTCACCCGTTAAGAAGGGTTTACACACGGACCGGTGTGTAACCCTTTTTTATTAGTTTCGAAAAAAAATTATTTTTGATGATTTTAAAATTAAACTACTAAAAAAACTTACTATAAAATACAATAGTCATAGTGTATATATTGCATAGTAAATATATTTTATTGGTTATTATATCAAGGTTGTTTCCCATGTGAAGCGCAACGACGTGCTCCATGCCACTCTGTCGGTGTTGTCCACATTTTTTTATGAACAAACGGTATTATCTACACTAAGGGGGAGGAGGTGAGCTTAGCCTCACAATGAACTTGCAATAGTGTGGTTCAAATTTGCATTTGGCGAGAATCGAACCTAAAACCTCTCACTTACAAGTGAAGAAGAATACCACTAGACCATAGTATTAAGTGGCGTGTTGTCCACATATTAGACTTGAAAATTTGTCACACGTGAGGGGACGTGTTGAGAATGAATTCTACATTGATGGGAAGATGAACCTTATATGAGTTTATAAGTAAGTTGTCATACTCTCCATTTTTCCCTCAGTTTCAAAAAATTTGTTGATCACGGATTAATTTTGTGATGAAACTTCAATATATATATATATATTAATGGTAAAACGATGACCATGAGCAATCGATAAAAAAAAATATGGCAATTAAAATGATAACTATGACCCACTTGGATAACTTACCAACATGATTAGTGTGCAACACGTAAGTGGTGACTATGATGCCATGTCACGATTTCATATTAAGTAGTCACGGAGTTGGATTCCATCCGGATCTACATTGTGAGGATCTTGAGGATCTTCACATCTTATACATTTATCATGTATCGTACGGTCAGAAATTATTTAATTTTTTTATTTAAAATTAAACACAAATAGTATCTGACAAAAACTAATCTCACGATATACGATGAACAGTTAAAATGTGAATATTCCTAAAATTTCCGCAAAGTGAATCCAGTAGTCACCACGTCATCCACAGGAAGTAGGGGTGCCAGTTGGCTTTTGGTTGACCCAATTGAACAAAGCGTGTCCATTCAACAAAACCCAAAGAAACACAAGCATATGTCCTATTCAGCATTGCTGATGATAACGTTAGCATTCTTTAAGAAATAAATCAAATAAATAAACCCTTATCCTTTTACAAATTAGGATCAAATGAACATAAAATTATACTAGGTTATATAGCTTGTGAGGATATATTTTATGTTGTCCGATATCGAAAAGATAAGAGATCTTGCATGATGCTATTATAAAAAGTTGGATTACTTTTCATTTTGTCAATTTGTTTTACGACGACACTTTAATTAACTTAATTCACATTTTTTTCTTTTCATCAACCGTTGTCACCCAACAAATTTGAATTTCGAACTTTCTCCAACAAAGTAAAGATTGAATGTCAGAAGACAACAAAATCACGTGCATATGTTTATAATATTGATTGAACTACTTCAGAAAATTTGAACCAAACAACCACTTTAATCAGCCACTATTTCCATTCCAAATCTCTTGTAACTTATAGCTAGCTAGATACCATCCCTACTTTGCATAAACCCATAGCTAGGTTGCATGTGAAACACGCATGCATATAACTAAGCGGTAATACTAGAGAGATCAAAATTTTTAAACTAAATTTGCAAATTAAATGATGTCATTGCAGATGATTGGCTTATTAATGAAGTGTCAATTAATGTGTTTGTTTCTTATTGTTGACACATCATT